ATATGGAATTTGTTGAACCTCCTAAAGCAACTTGTAGGAAATACAGGTCAGAAATCCTAGTTGAAGGCTGGGGTTGTGCTCAGTGGTTCCATGTGTTTTTAGCTCATGTAAGGCCTTGGGTTTCACAAATAAACTAAGCTGGGCATAGTAGCACATGTCTGAAATACCAGCTAACTGCGAGGCTGAGGGTGGAGGATTGTGAGTTTAAGCTCAGCCTTGGCAACATAGCAAGACCCCATTTCAAAAAATACAATAAAATATTTTTAAGATATGAGATGTAAATAAAAGGGAGCAGATTTTAGAATCTGGTAGAATAGGACTTGGAAGAAATATCTACCAGCTATATGATCCAAACCAAATCATTTGGTATTCTCTTCATGTATATACCAGGAGTAAAAGTACCCACTCTGCAAGACTGATGTAAGGATGAGAAATAATATCCTGAAACTGTGTGACACATAGCAAGTGTTCAATAAGTAATGGGCAACACTATCATCTTTATGCTTGCCTCTGTCCCCAGCCCCCACCCTCCAATTCCTGTGTACTGATGGGTCCGTGTGAATGAATGGGTAGAAAAGTACAGCATTTCATTCATGTTACTGGTCCCTGTTCTGAGCCTTTTGTCACTGTTAGGAGGGGAATAGGAGAAAGAAAAACATATTGAGAACTCTAATCATACTTGTCCTTGGAGATTGATAATTAGTTCATTTAAAAACTCATTGCTCCTGCCTTAGAAGGTAGCTATACTTTTCAAAGGATGATGGATGAGGGAAGTGAATGAACAGGCTGGCTTATTCAAAATATCTCACATCATTTTACAGTGATTCAGCACGGTCGCTTTGGTGTAGCAATTGTTTGTAGAAAGCATTTTTCACAACTACATCCAATATGTCTTACTTATTGGTGAAAAGAATTGTACCAGTGGCATCTGCAGATGAAGAACAAGAGGAAGAAAGGCAACGAGCAAATAATGAATGGAAAGATTTAGCTGAAGAAACAAAATTGATTTGTTTGTCAGACAACTTGAGAAGTCAAAGCTGGAAATTGGAAGTATGCTCAGAATACCACTTTTTCCTCATCTTTTCAGTTATTTGTAAGAAATTCATGGAACAGGGATCATTTTTCATTTATTATGATATCCTCCAGCAGGTATCACCAGGTACAACACCAGAATGGTGCTCAATTAACTAACGTTTTTAATTTAAGTGCAATAGTAAGAGCAATAGCTTCAGAATAGTTTAAGAAAATGATATGCTAAAAGGCTGACAACCTCATGTCAGAACAATCAATAGACTGGGATGTAAGGTAGTTGATTTCAATTTATTTTTTCAAATGCTGAGCTCTATATATTACCACAGACTTTTACATTTGATTAGGTCTCAGGGAAATAAACCGGCTACAAAAGCCAGCCTCCTGTAGCCTACCACTCCAAAGAGGTCATTCAAGTGTCCATGGGGGTTGAAACTGGACTGGAAGAAAGGGAGGCCATTGAAAAGAAGACTCCTGAAAGAGGAAGAGACTACAAAATTCTCAGTGTCGGGGTTGGGGATTTAACTCAGTGGCACAGTGCCTGCCTGGCAAGCACGAGGTCATGAGTTCGATTCCCCAGTACTGGAAAACAAAAAGAATTCTCAGCATCAAACTTCTGACACTAACTTCCTAAAATAAAACTATGCCTGTGGCCAAATTAATAAGATTAGTATATAAAAGTCATTTTAACTGCCAGCTAATTTCATACATACTATCTTTTTAAAATTCCCATAACAATTCTGAACAGCTGGTATGCTGGGGATAATAAGAATCTCTAAGAGATAAAATAACTAGTAGAAGGTCACATCAAGCCTAACTTACCCCAAAGCCTCTTTTAATTATATTAAACTTACCCAGGCTCATTACTCCTTTTATTAAATATCTTCGATATATACCCAATACTGGCTTTGGCATCACAGAAATCAACAGCATACTCTTAGCATAAATCACTACTATATCTCCAATCACAGTTCAGTACCAGGCACTCCATGATATTTGCCAAATGGTTGTTACAATGGATCAGCCAACAAATGAATGAGTAAATAACTGAATAAAAAGAACAGTTGCTAATTGGGACTATATACCCAGAGATTTCAAGTGGGCATAATGAGTGCAATCTTATGTGGCATATGTAATTTTCTTCACTCCTGAAATGTTAGTTGCAAATGGGAGAATAGTTCAAAGTTACCAATGTGGGAAAAAGTTTGTGAATATAGGCTCAAAAAATTGGTTCTTTGTGAATAGAAAAGAGTAAATAATATAGATCCATATGTTTTTGTTACATAATTTAGAAGTTTACAGACACAAGAAATTGTTTTTGGAATAACAATCACCCTCAGAGCAATAAAATCCTAATGTTTTTATTTAAGTGCTTAGATGCTGAAGAATTATTATTTACTTTAAAATATTTTGACGAAGTTCCAGACAACTCTCATCCAATTTTGTTCATATTAGTTACTCTGTCTCCTTTCCAAAAACAGGAATAGGGTCATGAGGCCTGGTACTGATTGACCGACACAAAAACACATTCTGGGAATGAGATTTTAGGAGCTAAAGTGCACCATTCAAATATGAGATCAGAAACATCACCCCCTTGCTGTAT